AAAACACATATTCCGCATATAATCTTGATTTCACAGCACTCATTTTAATATTTTGAATCTTTCAATTTAATCCATATTTCATTTTAGGACGATGCTGAATTTTCCTCTTTTGCTTTATGCTCATCTTGGTTTAGTACACAAGTCTCGTTGTTTGACATCGATGATTTATCAAAAATTTAGTCCTTGACCAGCAAATAATTAAATCAAACCGTAACAGGCAAAAGCACGTGTTTCATTCCGACCTTCAAAAAGTATTGATATGACGTGGCCAAAATGCTGCTTTCGAGCTAATAGTAGATTGGGTTTTCACTTCCTTAGGTAGCCAGTGACTTACGATTATTCTTAAACTTCTATTGGTGGAGAAGAAGTGCACTGTACATATTTTCCCTAATTGTCATACCCAAACACGTTCATTTGAGACCTTAATTTTCCTTCGCCACATATTTTTCCTTTGCTCCAGCCAATAAGAGAAAAAAAGGCCGATGCACTTGCTACAGATTATGACCTTTTCGACTGAGTTACAAGTTTTCAACCAAAAAATACCACTGACCCAATAAGGCTTCTTTTCCTAGAGCAGTAACTAAAAGATAAAAGATTAGTTCCAAATGGGATTCATTCTTTTATGTCACCTTGCTATTCGTGACAATAAAGTAAGAAATAGAACAAGTAACGTACCCTCATTCTAAACTTACTCCATGTAGGTTAGGGTGTGACGATTATTTTTACTGTATTTAGATCTTGCCGGTGCCACCTAAACAGTGCATAGGCGATGAATGTGCGAATATGGCCATTTCTCAGTCAGCCATCACTAACCCTTCACTTTAGTGAATTTCTTGAATGTTCTCCAGCAGTCGATTTACTTGAGATTTCGTCATGTCTCTTTCTCTATTCTCTTGGATAATTTTTTTCCTATAGGACCTTGGCTAGTAAACCCCCCCAATAGGCTATTAATGTTTATCCTTTCCCTAACAATATAGAGCTTGGGAATCTCGAGCGCAATCAAGATTTGAACAACAATGAACACTCAACTTCTAGTCTAGCCTACTAGTTGCTTTTCTTAGTTGTGATGCAAATAGGTGAGATGATTCGAGTCGGTGCAGTCTGAGCCAGAAAATAGTCAATTTTCTTAGTTGTGGAAGTAATTATTTGAAAATTGATTTTTTGAGAAGGGGTTTTTATTTTTTATTTTTTTAAAGAGATACAAATAGTATAAAGATACAAGTGGAAAGAGAAAATGTGGAATTTTCGTGTATGAAAATGTGATTGATTTGTAGTTGGTTGAAAATGAGT